AATATCACTAATTATCAGAGAAATGCAAATCAAAACTACGATGAGGTATCACTAGTAAGAATGACCATCATTCAAAAGTCCACAAATGACAAATGCTGGAGAGGCTGCTGGTGGGAATGCAGTTTGGTGCAGCCACTGTGGAAAACAGTATGGAGATTCCTCAAAAGACTAGGAATAGATTTACCGTATGACTCAGGAATCCCACTCCTGGGCATATATCCAGAAGGAACCCTACTTCAAAATGACACCTGCACCCCAACATTCACAGCAGCACTATTCACAATAGCCAAGACATGGAAACAGCATAAATGTCCATCAGCAGATGACTGAATAAAAAAGAGGTGGTATATTTCTACAATGGAATACTATTCAGCCATAAAAACCGACAACGTAATGTCACTTGCAGCAATATGGATGTCCCTGGAGAATGTCATTCTAAGTGAAGTAAGCCAGAAAGAGAAAGAAAAATACCATATGAGATCGCTCACATGTGGAATCAAAAAAAAAAAGAACATAAATACAAAACAGAAACAGACTCATAGACATAGAATACAAAATTGTGGTTGCCAAGGGGGAGGTGGGTGGGAAGGGATAGACTGGGAGTTCAAAATTTGTAGATACTGACACGCATATGTAGAACAGATAAACAAGATTATACTGTATAGCACAGGGAAATATATACAAGATCTTGTGGTAGCTCACAGTGAAAAAAAATGTGACAATGAATATATGTATGTTCATGTATAACTGAAAAATTGTACTCTACACTGGAATTTGACACAACACTGTAAAATGACTATAACTCAATAAAAAATGTTAAAAAACATAAAATAGCTGAACTCATTAAATAAATAAATAAATACATACATACATACATACATACATACATACATACATACATACATAAAAGCATAGCTTGTCTTAGAATTAGGGTGTAAATAAGCTTTGGTGGACCATTATTTCTGACCCATGTGGACAGATTGCCAGGGTCCAAGGAGAGGCGGTGAAGAAGGACCAGGCAGGGAAACAGCACTTGGGCACCGGCAGCCTCAGCCCACTCATGATCTCCACCGCTTCCTCAGAACCCTCTTGTGTATCAAGATTGATAAACGCAGGGGGAGGGTAGAGCGCATGTTTAATTTGCCCGAGGTCCTGGGTTCAATCCCCAGTATCTCCTCCAAAAGAAGTAAAAGAAAACTTGATGATCACATTTTTATTGTCGTAAAATATACATAACGAAGTTTACCACTTTAGCCATTTTTAAGTGTAAAATTCAGTGGCATTAATCACATTCACAGTGTTGTGTAACCATCACCCTTATCAACATCAAACTAATTTCAGTCAAGTGTTTTCCTCTGGTGAGTGGGGTCAGAGGGGACTAGAGGTAATTTTGTGGAAACCAGGATGGAAAGGGATCTCTTACAAGCAAAAACGCCATTTATGCAACAGCACAGCCTTCATTACCACTGTGACTTATTAGCACATAGCTGCTGGTTTGTTGTTGAAAAGTAGACTGTCCCAAACCCCTGGGTTTAAGTGTGGCCAGCTAACCTAGCACTGAGGTCCCTCCCCAGCCCCCATTAGTTGTTTCATAAATAATGTCCCAGGACAAAGATTAGAAGTTGAATAAAATCCTCTTGTGAATTAACTTCTAATAAGTTGTCTCCAGTGTAACCCCAATAAAAGCCAGGATTGTCTCAGAAACCAAGAAATCATTTACTTTACTTGCCAATATGTTATCTATGACTTCATTCTAGACACATCCAACACACTTAGCATCATCTAAAAAGAAAACCCTTCTCTAGCCCCAACTCTTATCCCAATTCTAATGTCACTGACTTTGGATAAGAACCTCTCCCTGTTCCCAAGCAGGGGAGAAATTGCCTCCAGCTACAAATAACACAGGATCAGCACTATTGACGACACAGCCAGTCAATTGATTCCATTGTTGCTAACCTTTTGGAATTTTCAAAGCGAAGTAATTTACATCCCTGCCATTAATAATGGCCTCGAGGCTACTATGATTGTTGTTCACATTTCTGGACCACATTGGGCAAGTTATCTGCCTGGTAAATAGATCTTAAAATCCATCAGTTTTCATACAAGTATTTTTAACAGAGAAATTGAGACTGATGTGGTGGGGGTTGGAGGGTGGGAGGAGACTGTCTCAGGGAACCCTGATTCAGTGAAGTTTGAATAATGTGAGGGAGAAAGTGAAGAATTACACAAAAAGGCTAAAAAGTTCTCATCGATTGTGCCCTGCTTTACAAAAGGCGGGGAAATGAGACTTGATGGTCAGCCCTACAATCTCCAATATATGATCAGCCACCTGGAAGCTTGTAAGAACCCAGTGTCCGATAAATTCCAATCCTGAATGTACAGAGGTCCTGGGGGAAGAGTGCCTGAATGTTGTGAGTCTGGGGTCATGCCTTCTGCATTGTTCCAGGCTGGTAACTGGCCTGTAACACTGAGTTGAGGGTGGGTTCTAATCTAAGGATCAGGCAGAATCCTTCCCTAGGGGAAGCACCTACTTCCTGCCATTCACAAGTAATGATTCCACTTTGTCCTTCAAGCTCACCGTTTTATGACAGCATCAGAGCCCTGCATTCTCTTCCCACTCCTTCTCTGCTTGAGAGTCAAGGATAGAGTGCTACTGGCAACTTTAGGGAGCTTTTGAAATGAGATCTTTTATGCCTTCTTACTATCTGTTTTTTCCTCCACATGGTGAATAGCTGGCAAACAAAATTACAGAGGGCTTAAGCCCCACATTAACTTGATTTCTGGTGCTGGTATCTCCCCTAAATTGTTAGTCTTTTCCTCTCTGCCCTTGCCCAGGAAGGTACAGAATTACAACTTGATGAGTTACCATGCCAACCCTTATACATTATCTGTAAAAGTTTCCAGACCCACAGCACCTAATTTGATTGCAGGGTTTTTAATTAATGATTTCTATGTTTTGTAGAATAACACATTTTTAAATTAATAAATTATAACCAGAAAAAGGTAGTTAAATTCATTTTGATTAAAATATAGTTCACTTATTTAGATAATGCTGCTTCAATTTATGTTGTTCAAATGACTGGGTCTTATTTCAACCCAAATCTTTACCACAAAGACTGGTGCCCACTTCTGTAACAGGTTGCAATACTAGGGACCTCTGATGGGAAACTCACCAGTAGGAAAATCCAGTGGAGTTGGCCTTGCCGCTTTGGTGTCCGCTTGCTTGTTGTCCAAGGATGCTATCCATGATTTGTGAATGATGAACTGTATCAAAGAAGAAGAGCATTTGAATTTTTAGTCTTTTAAGGGAAATCTTAGGGATTTTTCTTTTTCTGTTTGCACTTGATTGGCAAACAAGCACCTACTTTTTACAAAATATATTCAATCTATGTCTCAATAGTTATCAGAAAGTGTTTATTCATCGTGCCTGATTTTGGCGCTTTGAAATGTGCCAAAGAGAAACTTACCCCAGACTCCACACTTGGATCCTATGAGCAAAGCTGACAGTATTGGCTGTGTTGTGTCCTGTATGGAACTAGTACTACATGCAAATCATGCAGATGAATAAAGCAAGACAACTGCAAGGAGCTCAAAATGCCACCCTAGCTCTGCCTCTCTGTTCAGCCCTGCCCACTCTTGTTAATGGATTGCTTTTACAGGCTCCAGCCCAGCCTGGTCCTTACCCCTAACCTTAGCCACATCCACATGGGGGAAGGCAGCCTCGTGGCACCCCCATCCCAAGCCTACGTGTGATGGAGAATTAGCCAGAAGAGAAACTGCAACTCAGCCTCCCAGAACTTCCTCTCCAAGATCTGCTCCACGTGGGAACCAACTGGGACCAGCCACCAGGAATCAGCTTCCTAGCTTCATACCTACTCAGAGCCAAGCAGAAAAATGCCTGGTAGCCCAGCCGCGGGAATGGTGTGCAGGTGAGCCATTCTGTCCCTGAATTAACATAACAGCTGCAAGCAATCTCTCCCCATCCCCATAAACTTAGCAACAACACTGCTGGGTTCTATGTGTTTGTTGGCTACGTGTACTGTGGGTTTCAAATAATAAATAACATACAGGATTTTTGTCCCCAGATGTAAAGTGTGCTTTACTTTTCATATTTATTAAATGAGAATTTTTAAAACTTTGTATATGTTTGATGCTCTGCAGATGCACAATCGTCTTCTGGTATTGAGCTATTTCCAAGAATTTTTATTTATCTTTATCACGTCATGATAATAAAGAGTCATGGAAAGTCTTGGGCATGGTAGCTTAGAATTTTTCTGCTTTCTCCTAATTTGTTTACTTTCAAAAAGCAAGCTGTAAATATTAGTGGTAATGATGTACTGAATGGAACTACATTCTTCCATCCACCTCAGAAGAATTATACTAATCCGAAGGCCAGAAGTCAATTGAATTTCAAACTATGCTATTCTTGGTTGACGTTTTGAAGGAAAGTTTTTAAGGGTCATTTGTGATTTAAACTGCATACGTCCTCTGAAGTTTTATTCTATTTGAACATACAGGAATGTAAGTGTGATATGCGTAACATCATCAGTTACATCACACACAACATACAGAATGCAGATAACTATATGAGACAGTTCTCCAAATTGTACCTGACATGTAATAGGTACTGAATACACACCTGATAAATGAATAACCTAAAGAAAATATGCTGAACCTAACAGGGTCATATCTGATTCCTGTGATCAGGAAGCACAGGGGTCTGTGGACATAACACAAAATGTGGCCAGATACGGCCCAGAGATGCAAGATTACCAAAGTGGGGGGCACTCTACAACGTCTGGCAAATGGTGAAAGTATGCTTTATTCGTTTGGAAAATTCTTATAAACCAAGTGAATCAGCCAGGTAAGTATTTCTTATATGAGTTTTAGCTTTTCTTTTATAATTTCTAAGTGGGCCAGGACTCAGGTCACTCAGAGCATTCCCATGACTACTGGGTACAGCCAGAGAGGTCGCCTGGCTATTGTTGAATTTGGTCCAAACGGCTTCTTCAGCATCCTCCTCCAGCCTAAATGTCAAGAAACAGGCACAAGGAGTCCGGTGGCCAGAGAGCATTCATCCTGAAGCTTGGAGGCCACTGCAGAAGGTGCCAAAATCAAAGGGGGATTTGTGACTGCTGGTGGGGTCTCCAAACATGTAAAGATGAGGGGAGGGGATAGGAGCTTTTGGGGAGGTGGACCCCAAAGTAATCTCCCCTGCAAGGAACCATGGAAGGCAATTAAAGGACTATTTATAACAATAACAGTCATCCAAGGAGCTCTTGCCAAGGGCCAAGCCCTGGATGACCTCATATCCCCCATAAGAAGGACAGGCAGACGGTACTAACACCTCCATTCTGCCCTCGTTTCACGCAGAATGATAGAATAACTTGCCCGGGATACGCCACTAGTGAGGTTTCCAACCCGGATGGTTGAATGCCAAAACTGAGCTATTAATATTTTGGTGAAGTGTCTTTGCTTGAATGAGGTGATAAGAAAGTAGCTCTGAAGATCTTCCCATGACTGTATCTCTTCACCACCCAGGCATTTCTGAGCTGTAACCTATTGCAGGGTCCACTGCAATTGACTGTACTGCCTTAAGAAAACCCTGGACCCTCAAAAATGCAGGGCAGCCCCTCTATGATACCTACCCTCCCCACATGAACCATTGCATCTTCAGACCATGTCCCTCTCTGCCCCCTTATGTCTATCTGCCTCATGCCCCTGCACAAGCCATGGTGCCCCTTCCTTCTGGGACTGCCTCTTTCTTGCTCTTCACGTTGGATCGCCCCCTCCTTCATGACCCATGACGTTTTCGTTGGCCAGTCCAAAGCCAAGGATGACTTCAGGTTTTTCACTGGTGTACACATCTGTCCACTCAGTCAACAGACAGTTTTTGGTATGCTTTCAGCATCGAGTTACATCTCACATGGGATTTAGCAACAGTGAAATAGCTGGTCATATTCCCATAAGTCCACCAGGAGGGCCAACACTTGGGCTGCTTCGTCTAGAAGCTCCGGCTTGACTCTGACCTCGTCTGTCCATTGGCTTCATCCTTATTCTTGCAGAAAGATGGAACAGAGAGAGTCAGTTCTGGAAGCAGCAGAGAGGACTTTTCCAGAAGCCCCTAGAAAACTTCTCATTGATCTGATTTGAGTGGCATGCCTAGCCTGAACCACTCACCAGCAAGGACAGAATTCCCTTTAGTCACAGAAGGTGTGAACGAGGCAGCACTTAATGTTGTATCCCCTCTGTTCACATCACTTTCCACCATCCCATTGGTAAGACATTACTTACAAATCACAAGTTCAAAGATAAAATGATTACGAATTTCAAGATGGTGATAGCAGTGCATGTAACCAAGCATGGAGCCATCTGAGCACGAGGCCCTGCATGAGCACACAGGTCACATGTCCTTGAAGCCGGCCGTGGGCAGGGAGTTACCTAAACAAGGTCAGGGAGGGGATGGAGATTGAATTCCCAGTCCACACTGTCCACCACTGGCATTGCCTTCACTCTGTGGATGAGGAATCGGGTGCCCCAAAGTGTCATCTTGTAGTTGCAAAGCTGATACATCCAGGCCAGCCTACAAAACCAGCACACTCCCACACAGCCTCTCCTCTCCCCGTACTGCTAACCTGTAGCTGGGGGCTGCCATCTGCTTCCTGAGACTTGTGTTCCAGTGGATCGTCACTGACTAGAAACCAGCTCTCCTCCACAGAGAGTAATCGGAATTCTGCATAAACACAGACACTTCCTAATGGTTTCTAGGGAGAACCATTTAGTGTGGGTTTATTTATTCAATTTGTTATCACTGCTCCTACTGCCGGGAGGCGTGCATAAAAGGAAGAGAGATTCAAATAGTAAATTAAGGGAAGCCAGTAAAAGCCCCACTAAAGGAGAGCCAGGTATCCACTGTTCCAATCGCTTCGTCTCATTTTTAAAACCTGCTTGCGTTTTACATGCCTGGGTCGTACCACTGCTTCCCCTCCTCTGTGCTCACCAGTTTCACGGGGCACTGCTGTGGGGATGTGTCTCCCAGGATGACACCCAGGGACTGGGAAGTAAATGATGAACGAGCAGACATTATTTGGGCAATGCGGTTTTTCAGACAAGGGCTGCAAGAGAATATATTTTCGGGTGCTTCTGTTGGTATTTAACTTGGAGACTGTATATACAGTAAATCAGCGAGGCCGATAAAAAGCGCAGAGGGGCATGTTTTATGTATGGTTCTGACAGCCTGCAACGGCTGCCTCGGTGGGAGGGGTGTGGATTTACGGTCCCACACTTGCAGGTGGTGGCAGCTTGTAGGTAGCGTGGCTCTCTGTCTATACCTGAGACTATTTATTTTTTGGTTCATCCTGAGGTAAAGGAAAAGTGTAAGGCGAACTATGGACTTTTTGACACAAGAAATGCAACGTGGGCAGCAATTGCATAACTTTAAAGGAGAGAGAAATTGCTTAGATGCAACCCCCTTGTCCACAGCTCTCTCCAAGATTCGTTTCTTGGTGGCACTACCACCCAGTGGAGGGAGATTTTTAAATTCCCCAGTGGCTCATTTATTTTAGCCATGGGGCAGGGATGACTTAGCCAACAGGGACCAAGTGTCGGGGGCCCACAGTGCTTTTAGGGGCTCTCAGAAATGTCTTTATTTTAATTTCTTTTAAAATATGAAGAAAAAATAAACATAATTTTAACAAATAGAGAATGATGGATTTAGCATAGATGATACTTGTCTTTACACCACTGAAGTTGTCAAATATTTTAACTTTTTTTTAAATGGGGGAAGGAACTCACAAAGACCAGGGTACCTAAGGCCCATGAAAGTCATAACATGTCCCTATAGTGGAGGTAACTCTAGGCTTCAAACCTAACTTCTTCCATTTCATCAGGCAGGCACCCAAGATGGCCTGTGGCATCAGGCATTTGGCGAGGGTGAGTTGTTCCTCAACTAGAACTGTCTCCAGAGAGGCCCAGGGAAGGACTAGGGGCTGTCTGGAGGCAACCAGGAGGCACCCCCACAGTCCTAACGCCGTCTGGGCCCACCTGACCTGAGAACAGATTGCAGTAGCTCTCAGATGACCCACTCAGGGATCTCTCCATCTCAGCAGTTTCCGAGGGCTGCCGTAACAGAGTGCCACGCACTGGGGGGCTTCCACAACTGAAACTGATTGCCTCGCCATCCTGGAGGCTAGAAGTCCAAGCCACGCAGTCAGCAGGGCTGGTTCCTTCTGAGGCTGTGAGGAAGACTCCGTCCCACGTCTCCCCTCAGCTCTGCTGGTTTGCTGGCCACGTTAGGCATTTCTTAGCATGTGGAAGCATCACCCTTATCTCTGCCTTCATCTTCACATGGCGTTCTCCCTGTGAGCATGCCTGTGTCCACATCTTCCCTTTTCATAAGGACACCAGGCATTGAATTAGGCCACTCCAGTATGACCTCATCTTAACTATGCCAACACTGACCCTGTTTCCAAATAAGGTCACCTTCTAAGGTATTGGGAGTTTGGACTTCAACATACGGATTCTGAGAGGACACAATTCAGCCCGTAACGGCAGTTCACACTGCCCCTGTGATCTTAGTCTGGGACTTGAGTGAGAGCCTCTTATGCCTGAAGTTCCAGAAAGCAGCTCAGTGGGAGTCATCTGCAGATCTCTCATTTCACCTTCTCCCAGCTGCCATTCGAAGGCTGGTGTGTGTACTCACCCTTGCAGGAGTCTAATCAGGGATTCATGTGCCCCATGCCAGCTGGGGAATAAGGGCGGATGAGGGGGGCCTCCATCATGTTCCTTTGCAACCCCAATGCCTGCTCTTCAGCAGAAAGAAGAGGAAGAGAGTGGGCTGTGGAGATAAGGTGAGACAGAAGGTCACCAGACATGAGAACACAATGGGGAGGTGATAGGTAGGACCAGAGCCAGCAGGCTTGATCTGCTTGTCTCTATGTCAACCGCATAACTCTTTTCATTAGCGGAGAGGAAGCCCCAGTGCAGGCCAGGGTGAGGAGCAGAGATGCTAAGTCTGAAATGCAAGTGTGGGTGTGGGGAGGAAGAGGGGGTTTTGAGGGCTGGCATTGAGCCCGGGGTGCATGGGAAGCACTGAACAGTTCAGCAAAGCATCTGTGGGCATTAACCAGTTTACTTAATCAGCAATGCCAGCCCCCGGGACTCAAGTCATCTTTGTGCATATATCACAATGCCCAGGAGTGGGTGCAGTGGAAAAAGAATGCACTTGGAAATAACACAGAACTGAATTTAAATTCCAAATTCTGAGTCCATTGGCTTTAGGCAAATTACTTTATCTTTCTGGTCACAAGTTCCAACATCTGTAAAACGGGAATTAGTAATAATAATAATAACACTATCCCATAAGATTGTTGGGGACGTTAGATATAGTGATATGAAGTGCCTGATAGAATCCTGGCATGGAGTAGGCGATGAGTAAATGGTAGCTAGTAATGGGGTTGGGAGAGTCTTGGACTAACTCAATGCCACCTTCATTCAGAAAGGCTATGTGTGTGAAATTGAAACCAGGCTTAAACTTCCAGGAATTGTTCTTTAGTTTTGGGCTTAAAATGCACACACAAAGTCTCAGGTACCAGCTCAGGCAAAACAAGTGGATACAGGGAAAAGGGGCCAGGATTATACTGGATAGTTTGCCCTTAACTATTACAGATGGAGCAACACGTTGACCTCTGCTGTGCTCTGTGCTCCTTCAAAAGTGAGTGGAAGAGTAATGATGATCATGAACAGTTATACAGTGTTTACCACATGCCAAGTCCTGTTCTTTATATAATCCCCACGACAACCCTAGGGAGTGTGTTACTATTATATCCTCATTTTTATGGTCAAATCCAAGAGCACAAGGGTGAAGTCTGGCTCCAGGTACTTGCTCACAGTCACTACACGCTACTGCCTCGTCTACTGTATTCCCTCTGCACTGTGACTCTCCTGAAGTCGGTGTGTGTGTGCGTGTGTGTGTGTGTGTGTGTGTATGCATGTGCTGAGGTGTCAGAGGGCACCTAGCCCTCACCTCCCAGCCACTGTGCAGAAGACGGGGGGTGAGTTGCTTCATTTAAACTGTTTGCTCTGCTTTATGCAGAACTTGTTGCCCCTTGAAGGATATTAATACAGAAAATGAATAAAGAGGGGTTTCAAAACAAAATTGACACCAAGACAGCTCTCATCTTCTGCGTCTCTGATAAATAAGCCCTCACTGTAATAAGCTCTTTGGTACCAGACCTCTCTCCCTGGAATATCAATGCTCCAGCATGCTGTAAATAACAGTGGTGCCACTCACTTGACAAACTGTGTTGTGGTCATCCACTCAAATAGCTCCCTTCTTTTTCCTGTGTTATAATGACACATCAATTCTATGGACTATTATGCAGCCATTAAAAGTGGTGACACTTAAACTTTTAAAGTTAAATGTATAACAAAGTAGAAAAATGTTTACAATAGAATATTGAGTGAAACAATTGCATACTAAATGTGCATGCATGTAAAATATGTACACAGGAGGACAAGGCCCTGAAAGGACTTGGAAAAGAAACATCATTTCCCAAAATTGCAGACTTCTTTCTTTGAAGTATGGTTGATTTACAATGTCGTGTTAATTTCTGGTGTACAGCATAGTGATTCAGTTATATGTGTGTGTGTGTGTGTGTGTGTATGTGTGTGTACACACACACATATCCTTTTCATATCTTTTTCATTAGAGGCCATTATAAGGTATTGAATATAGTCCCCTGTGCTACACAGTAGGACCTTGTTGTTTATCTGTTTTATATCTAGTAGTTACAGACTTCTTTTTTTAAAGTTTTGCAGTTACTTTTAAAAAATGGAAATAAAGATGTTTACCTGTGCCATCAATTACAAACATAATACATACCTATAAACTCATCTTTTTTTGGAGCTGGGAAGGCCTCTAAGATTGATTTTTAAAATTAGCTATTAAAATGGTGGAGATTATACTGGATGTCAGAAAACTTATTATAAGATAAGTAATAAGTACTTTCCTGATCCTGTTTGAAATTCCTAAGTAGTTGGAGAACCTGAGAGGAAGGAAGAGATGAAGATGAAGGGATGATCTTTTCCTTTACAGGGCGATCTCACACCTGGCAAAGAGGACAAAGGGCAGCCCAAATCCTTTGGGGAAGAAAGCAGGACATAGATAACAGACAAAATACGGACTAAACGAAATACTACTTAAGAAATCGCCCTGGACACATTTTTCAATGAACCTGAAACCTATCAGGTATTTTTTTAGTTCTTCATTTTCTTCACTAACTTAAAATCTTATTTGCCCTTGTTGCTTTGTTCCACCTTTAGTTTACTCAGAGTCACTGGTCATCAGTTTTGGACACTTGAGGTTTGCTGGAGTGAAATGAACTTTTTATATTTCAGCTCTGCTTATTAACACATATTTCTAAAGGTAGATATTGCACATAAAAAGAGTCTTTTTTAAAAAAAAAAGTGCAATGGCATCGTGCATCTGTGCTTCATTTGCTCTGTTGGTCTGGGTCAGCTAAGATGCCAATGCATCTTTTGTATTGATGCATCAAAGGACTTAGAGAAATTAATCAACTGCATTCCAGAATGGAGCCTTCATTCTGCAGGAAGTGTGGGTCATTAATAAAAGCTAATTTCCCCCATTTCAAAATGCTATAATACAGAAATGAAAATGAAAATGAAATGACTTGGAGTAAGCCCAGCCCAAAACTAATTTCCATTCAAGGTAAACCCTTAGGTTAAGTTGGAACTAGACAAATAAATTGTCTTCTGACCCTTGAAGTTCAAATCCAGACATATGTGTGATCATTTCTGTTGCCCAAGTCCCTAGAACAGTTACATGTTTCCCGATTCTCCTTAAAGTCTTTGATACTAAGGAGATCTCTTGAGAAACCAGTACAAATGATGCAGGATACTGGAAGGAAAAAGCAACAAACAGAGCAAACTTGCTGGGGAGACCTGAAAGGACTCATTATTCCAGAATAAAAAGATTCTAGAAGATTATGACCAAGGAGTAGATCCCATTAGAGAAGAAGAAGGATCAAAGTTTGGAAATGTGTTAAATTTCCATCAGTATGGCCACTGGTGTGGCAGAGACAAGATTTGTCGCTAGCTGGCATGTGCTGCTGCTCTGGGCCTCCACGTGTGGCCTTTGGGAGAATGGCTGTCAATCTTGGCATCACCTGGAGGCCCACTACAAATGCAGATAGACCGTGAGTGGATTTTTGACTGTTCACTTGCTTTCCCCTTGTGTCTTTAACAGTGTCCAGCACACATAATTGCTGGATAAATTAATTTCTTCAGCCCAATCCAAAATCACTGAATTTCAAACTCTGGAGGCAGGTCTCAAGAATCTGCATTTTAACAGGATCTCCAGGTGGTTCTTAGGCACAGTTAAGTGTGAGAAGCACTCCCTTACTGGGCATGGATGCTGACCAATACACTATTAGGCTTGAATGGTTCCCCTGAACACAGCACGAAATCCAGAAGTCTGAAGATGAAGGAACAGCCCTACCTCGGTTTCCACTGGGGCAACAACCACTGTCCCAACGGTGTGTAAAACATTCATATCCATTGTCTCTGGGTGTTAGGTTAGGTAGTTAACCTTATCCTTATTTTACAGGTGGAGAACCTTGGACACATGCAAAGCCAACTAATTAACAAAGCAGAAATCAAAACCTACTGCACTAGACCGAGGCCAGGAAGTTCTTTTTGTTCCTTGGACAAAAGCCACTGCATAAATCCCCAGCATTACTATTCCCATCACTTGCACAGTATTAGATCACTTTCCTATAATCACTCCATTCTCTTTTATGAGACCTGAGGTTTAATTGGAGGTTCCAATAAGAGATTTTATGTGTTTAATGGATTTTGGAGTAATAATCAGAGCCTGAAATGCTAGTCAGAAGGCCAGCTGACTTCTAATGAAGTTACACTTGGGGGAGGAGGTTTTTAAAAAGATATTGTAAGTCTGTACTGCAGAAGTAGATGTGCAGATATTTAGGGGGAAAATATGTAAGGTGTATGGTTACTTCTAAAACCGTGGCTATGGACGTGTATATTCCAGCACCCACTACCAGAACAGTGTAACTCATGATAGAAATTTAAATTGTGAATCAGCCAGCACAGCTCTTAGGAAGGACCCTGTGGGAATAGCACGGGGTCGCTTGGACGCTTTCTCCCATGAGCTACCCCTGGCAACCTCTGGCATGGGCTCACCTTCCTGACTCCTCACCCACGTCTCTTCCTCCTACACCCTCTGCAGAATGGAAGGCAGACTTGCCAGCTCTAACTGTCCCCCTTCCTTGCTGTTCCCAACATATGTACTCACTCACTTCTTTTTAATTACTTAAGGAATTTTTCAACGGGGCACCACAAGGAAAATGGGATTAACAAAAAAGAACAAGGAATGAGGAAATTAAGTATTATGGGAAATCTTGCCTTTATAGGTATATCAGAGCAATTTCCCCAGGAAATTTTACAGCATATTGCTGGCTAGGCATTTTCTTCTATCCCCAGCACTCTTGGGAATCTTTTACATACCAGACAAGCACTCTTACCACATAGGTATATTAAGTTGAATACACCTAGAATACTGTGTACTATACATCTCAGACTTGAAGTGCTTGGCCTACACGTGGAAGCCAGCCATTCTAAGTGACCTCACCCACAACCAATGACCCTTTGCACTTTCCATGATGAGAATTTGAAACAAGGATCCTCTTTGCTACTCCATCCAGGCCACATAGCTTTGGGTCCTAGAACTTTACAGATTCTCCCTGCCATTGACTAAAATGTAAATGATGCTAACCAGCCTTTTTATACCCACTTTTC